CAGCTCAGCCCACCAGGGGGCGGGGCTGGCTGGCATGTGGTGCTGGGGGATTGAACCGCGGCCCCTGATGCTTTAGGTAAGCTTGTTCTAAGTAGGTGCTTTAGACCACTGAGCCATCTCTCCAGCCCCAAGAAAGCTGGTTTTAAATTTAAGCCTTATTTTATAAAAGTGAATGACTCTAACAAAAAAAAAATTTTTTTTTCAGTACTGAAGATTGAACCTGGGGCATTTGGGAGGCTGAGGCAGGATGATCACCAAGTTTGAGGCCAGCCTGGACTACACAATAAGACCTTGTCTCAAAAACAACAACAACAAAATACAATCTTTGAACACTAGGCTTTAATAGAGTTTAATTATCTATTTTCCAAGGACAATAGGAAACATGTAAAAAAGACAATAGAAAAAAAATTTAAACTATATAGCAAGTTCAAAACCAGAATGAACTACATAGCAAGGCCCTATTTCAAAAGCAAAACAAGTGCACAAAATACTAGATTACTTTTGGCAAGGCAAAACAAAGACAAGACTAAAAGATCCTTGCTCAAACTTAACTTATAATATTTAACAAGTTCTCTAAGTATTTAAACAAGGTATACATTCTTAGGGGTATTCCCCTTTGAACAAGAAGAAACTGGGTTTTGCAAGATGGAATTGAATAGTGTGGGTGACAACTGCTAGTAGAAACTTGAGAGTGAGACAGCTCTGTTTGGGATACTTCTGAAGTCCCTTCTTTTTTCTTTGGCATTACTAGGGATTAAACCCAGACCTCTGCACAAAGCTATGATCTCCAGCCCCTTTTTTTATTATGAGACACGGTCCTGTTAAGCTGTCCAGGCTGCGCTTGATCTTGTGATCCTCCTCCCACAACCTTCCAGAGTACTAGGACTATAGGCATGCAACACCAGATCCAGCTAAAAGTCCCTTCTTTTACTGTTGTTGTCATTTTGAGATAGGAATAGTCTTGCTATGTGGTTCAGGCTGGCCTGAAACTCAGGTGATCCTCTAGCTTCAACCTCTCAATTGCTGGAATTACAGGTACGCTGTACTATGCCCATCCACTTAATTTTAAACTTCTATGATTTACAAAACCAGGAATGTGGGTCAGGGAGACAACTCAGTGGTCTAAGTGCCTGCCTGGCAAGTGCAAGAACCAGGGTTCGATCCCAGTACCGCATGCCGCACTGGATTCCCCACCACACCGGCCACCAGAACCAGGTGTGATGGCACACACCTGTAATTCCAGTACTGGGGAGACTGAGACAGGAGTCCATAGGAGGATCACTATGAGTTTGAGCTGCGTAGGAAACCCAGAACCAAATAAATCTTAAAAAAAAAAAAAAAAAAAATACAGGAATGTAATCTAACCAAATTCAACATAATATATGCCATGCTTTTCTTTTTTTTTTTTTTTTAGTACACTGTATTTATCTATGTAGCTCACTCTATAGCCCAGACTAGCTTCCAATTTAGTAATCCCCTTGTCTCAGTCTCCCCAAGTGCTGGGATTACATATTTGCCTTTTATTGGAAGAATCATTGATATAAAAGTATAAGTTTGAAAACTTACACCAAATAATTATTGTAGCAAATTATACAGAATATTCACAAAAATATGTAATGATTTTTGGCTGAAAATTATCACAACAGTATTGTTATTAATGATAAAAGTTTTTGAAAATATTTTATATGTTATTCATGCTACATAAATCAAATCACACACATTTAGAATCTTAAAACATTATTTAGTAAAGCTCAGTAGACAAATATTGACTGAACAGAAACATCAAAAAAGAGAATCTTCTGCCTGGCCTGGTGGTGGCGCACACCTGTAATCCCAGCCCTCTGGAGAGTGAGGCATGAGGACTGCTGCAGTTCCAAGGCCAGCCTGGGTTACACAGGTCAAGGCCCACGTGGACTATATTGTGAGACCCTATCTCAAATAAAAGAGAAAATTTTTTTTATCTTGTTTTTTGTTTTTGTTGTTGTTTTTCAGAGACAAAGTTTCAAGGTGCAGATCAGGGTTGGCCTTGAACTATGTAGTCCAGGCTGGCCTGGAGCTCTCAGAGAACCTTTGTCTCAGCCTCTAGTCAAATACTGGAATTACAGGCATGCACCACCACACCCAGCTCTGTCCCGTTTCTTGAAACAGTGTCTCATTATGTAGGCCAGGCTGACCTCAAAAACTGCCATCTTGAATTTTTTTGCAGTACTAAGATTTGCACTCAGGACCCTGAGCTTGCCAGCAAGTGCTTATTCTAATGAGCAAAAATTGCCATTTTATGATCATTTTTAATACTTTATTCTCTAAGTAAAAAATAAAATTTTAAATAAAATATGCAAAGTATTTCATTTTTAAAAATTTCCATCTTCCTGCATCAAGATTTCCAAGTGTTCAGATTACAGGATTGTGTCACCATACTCAGCTGAAAGAATTCTTAATGGTACCCCACAAAAAAAGACGTAATCTGGGCTGGGGGATATAGCTCAGTGGCTTAAGCACCTGCCTGGCAAACTCAAGGTCCTGAGCTCAATCCCTGGGGCTGGGGGAATGGAGACATAAGTTTCCGATAAATAGTTCTTTGGTATCATAGTTTTTCATATAACTGCACTAGATTACCCTCTGAACGGTGCTTAATTACTGATATCATTACCTGACTGATAAAAACAGCCTAAGGCACTGGAGGACAACCTAAGGCACCGTGCTACAGCGGGCATACATGGCTGTCAGCACTTGAGCCAAGTCACTCCAGCAAAGGTTTGATAAATTGTCAGCATGCAAACAGCAAAGGTCACATTCAATAAAAGACTGTTTGTAAAGCTGTTACTGTGTTTTCTTTTAAGACAAAAGATGATAATGTAGGAGTTATTTTTTCTAAGCTAAAACCTCACTATCCAGGTTTAACTGCAGCATTGGCACTTTGCAATAAATTAAGTGGATTTGGGGAAAGCATTCTCTTTTTTTTTTGTACTAGGACTTGAACTCAGGACCTTGAGCTTGCCAGGCAGGGGCTATGCCACTGAGTTATATTCCCAGCCAGAGATTTTTACTATTTTATA